TAAATAGTTTGTTCACCTTAAAAAGAGAAGAATAATGAAATTTCTAAAATCAAGGATTACCAATTAAACATTTGAGGTTACCAGTGATATTATGTGTATGTTCACTATAAAATCAGTGGAAAATTAAAATTTAAAGTCTACCTTTGTTTTGTAGAAAAACTTTAATTATATATTGTCAATAAATAAACAAATAGGCATTTTGAGTATTTGATAATCAAAGGTTAGGAATCTTCTAGAATTTGAATCTACTTGTCTGGTTTATATTCTTTATTTATTACCTGAAATTAGGGAACAGGACATAGATTCATTTCAGTTATTAAATATATGAGGAGTTTCTGCTAAAATTGGTCGAAAAATTGGTAAGAATATTTGTTTCATGTATGAAAAGGCATTAAAATCTGATGAAAATTGTATTAATTTTCACATTAAATTTGACTAGCAAGAAATTCATTGAAATAATGGATCTTTTTACATTGTAATTGGAATTTCTTTTTCAGTTACTGCAATGTAGATTATAATGAAAACAAAAAGAGTAAACCTTGGGTAAATTTTCTATAACTATACTGTGAAATACAATTAGCTTTCTTGTTAATATTTCACGGTCTGATAAAAATTCTCTTCAATTCTAATTTGGTTTGGTTTTTAAGTAAAATTTGCTTTAATTGCATCATTTTGAGAATTTTTTTAAAACTTCTCTTTGTCTGCTCTTATCATGAGAAAAAGGTACAATTTTTTTTTTAATTATTTTTTTATTTATTTTAGTTTTTTATTTATTCATTTGTAATTTTCTTTTATTAAATTAAAGTATCATTGCATTAAATATATAAGTAATTAGAGCTACTTGTATGCATTCTAAGAGGAATAGCTTTTTGCTTCAAACTGTTAAATAGCCAAGTGGCTAAAGCTAGTAAAATGCTAGAAGTTCCTACCAGCCTCTATTCCCCAGTGACTGAATAAGCCGGCTGCATGACGTTTTATGGTTTTCCTTGCATATAATGCTTGTACAAATCAGTTTCTTTTTTAAAGCTGTTTATGAAAACAAATATTTTTGTAAGCATATAGTTGCTGTTTGCCATAGTTATGTAATCTAATCCTTATTAATTCATGATATTACATTATAGTATTGACTCAGTTTTGCCAGTAACATCAATATTTATTTTACTTAGCTTTATTCCTAATTTGTTTTCAGGTTCATATTTCATGAATCTACTGATTAATAATTAAATATTTGGTTTGTGAGCTTTAAAATAACAAAAGTAAAAATACATTGAACTCTTTCTAAAGATGATAATTTATGGTTCCAGAGGATTTTGATAGTCTGTGAAGGTGCATGTCTTGGAGAAAATGATCATAAAACAGCAGTTATCAACTTTGTGTATTGAATGTGTCCCCTGTTCAAGGCTATTAAGACTGAATAAAGAAAAATACTGAAATATGACAAATGGGTGCATTAATACTGTTATATAATAAAACTGCGTATTAGTTACAAAAGTAAGTAGTGAATGATGATGATGTGAAAGAAAAACTTAAAATTACCGTCTTCTTAAGATTTTAAAATTCTATTAAAAGTGGGCAGTATTTTTGGACATAGGAAGCTAGAAGTATTCATTGCTTGTTAAAGTATTCTTCCAAAGTCAGCTTATTTAACGTTTCTGTTTCGGTTAATCCCTTCTTTTCTAAAACAGTTTGAATTTCATAAAGTAAGTAATCATTCGTCTTTTAATTTCCTAAGTGCCTGTAAACTTTTTAAGTTGCTTGTATGAAGTAGAACTTGCTTATAAAATATAAAGCTTATGAAGAAAATATTAGGAGTGTGCATTATAATTTTTGTTTAGTATCTTAAAATATTTTCTCTGCTTATCAAGTATTCATCCAGTAAAATTTGCTTGTTGTGTTTTCTTTTTGATTAATCACTTTTTCCTTAAAACAATCTGAACTTCATAAAGTAGTCCACTATCTACCATATTACTTTACTAATAGCACTTCTGATAACTTTTAACTGTTTTTCTAAATTAAATATGCTTATTATGTAAATTTATTGAAACATTTTAGTCTAAGATTAACCACTTAAAATTTAAGAAATTTTAATTTAATTGTCTCATATGTAAGCACACTAAATAGTAGCTTCAGAATAAGTGCCACTGACTGCATGCAGTAATGTCAAAAACAGAAAGGAGTTGCTGTGGTACCACTTGATTATTGATTTGTTAATTATTATTATCAACTGCATAGTTAGAAAATGAAAAAAAAAAGTAGTATAAATTGAATAACAATGTTGTGAATCATTTGCTATATCATAATGAATGTACCAGGTTGTTATTTAAAAAAAAAAAAAAAAAAAAAAAAAAAAACTTTTCTGATACATGAACCCCTAGTGGCCTGCCTGCTCAAACAGTCGAAATGAAATTTCAGATATTGTTATTTGAAGGTATGTATTCGAGATCATGATAATTGAAAACAATAGAGATCTCATGGTTACAATTCGAAAATTTGAAAATTTTCGAATGGAAGCACTTGTAGTATCTAGTTTGCTTAGCTATTTTAAAATGTGAATAGATCTACCTACGTGTGATCCTTGTGTCTTCTCACATAGGCTTGAAGATGAACACAACCAGGGAAGGGTGTAAAAAAACCCTTTTATTGAATACAAAATATTTAACAGAAGGCACATATTTACGTGCTTACTCAAATCACTGATCATTTATGGTGAGAATGTAAAAGATAATGTAACACTAATTTAAAGGTAAGGAGTAATGTGAGACTAAACAATTCAATTTAAACTAACAGGTTAACTAAGAAACCCACACCAGCAGGATACTCTCAACAACAAGAATGCATAGCTGCAATTAAGATTGAACTAACAAATGTATTCGTAGAAACTAATAAACGTATACTCACAATAGCAAAATCACACTCTGTCTAACCTATTCGCTCCAACAGTTTAAATACGCTCATTCGCCTTGCTTCATTTACATCCTGGTGAGGAAATGCAAAGCAAAATAAGAGAATTCAGGAAAGGCTCACAAAATAAAATAACTATTAGTGAAAATAAACAGAACCCCACACAGTTTATTTCTGCACAAATTGATCAACGCTTTGGAAAACCATAACTGAGGTCGGAACAATAGACATTTGATGAAAATTGCGGGCATAAAACATTTGCAAAGAAGAACATTTTAAAGGACCAGTGGCAAACAGAGAGGAGGTGCATTGATGCACTTTACATACTTCTTCTAAGAGGTCACTTCAACAGTTATGAAAACATGCTCCATCACAAGTGCTCAGTTTACAAATTGTTGCAGAATTACATAATTCCAGAATTGCAGCAGCGAAATGTTGTTAATGACATTGTATGGATGCAAGATGGTGCTCCTCCCCATGTCGGCACATGGTTCAGCAAATGCTGCTACAGCACTTTGGAGATAAAGGTCATCTCCCATAACTTTCATAACCACTGCAATCCCCTAACCTCACTTCAATGAATTTCTGGCTCTGGGGTTATCTGAAATCTAAGATTGTACATCAAATCCACAAGATTTATTAGAATTAAAAAATACCATGAAACATGAAGTTATACAGTTTCCTTCTGCTATGTTACATTTGTCATTTTTGGTAACAATCTCCCGCATTCAATGTGTTATCATTGGCGAGGGTGGCATTTTGAAAACTTGAAATTCTAATAAAAGTTTTCTTCTTCTCTCTTGTGTTGTCATTAGTGCTTTACAATGCTCTTCTTTGAAAATGTTTTACAGTACTAATTTTCATCGTACATGTATTGTTCCAACTCCATTTATGGTTTTTCAATGAGCTGATCAATTTGCATGGGGAAAAAGTGCATATTGCTATTTGAAAAATTCACAATTTCTTTTTACTGTAGCCATAACCATGAGAGCTCTATTATTTTAAATAATCTCAATCTTGAATGCATACCTTCAAATAACAGTATCCGAAATTTCATTTCAATTGGATGAGCTGATAGGCCACTAGGACCTCTCATATATCAGGATTTTTTTTTTTTTTTTTAATGATTGCCCTGTATTTGTGATTAGGCATATGTGAAAAATTACGCTACCCTGAAGATCAATAGAATTAATAATTCAGGAATGATTAACTGCAGTTTTCCATTAAAATAGATTTTGTGTTACAATAAGAATTGGAAATGCAACTCTTCGATTTGCTTTTACATAAAATATTTTTGTTTGTTGATGTAATTAATCATTTTGATAGTCAAATGGGAAGAGAAATTTTAAATTACATAAAACAGCAATCTTATTTGGGTGTAGATCTTTAATAAAACTCTATTCATGTTAAGGTCAATCAGATGCAGATCCCTTTTCTTCAGATGCAAAACATTCTGCAAAGAAGAGAACATTCCATATCTGTCCCTTCTTTGCAGATTTTTTTTGCTTCTGAAGAAGACAAATCTGTTTCCTGATTGCTTTCAAAATCGATAGTTTTATTTAAGATCTCTGCCAAAATAAAGTTGCAGCTTTGCCTGATTTAAAGTTTTGTAGTGACTTCAATAAATATTTGATGGTCTTGTTGGGGTTAAGGAATAACCATACTAGAGGAAAATATTATAATTATCAATATCTATATTTATTCGTGTTCTTAGAAGTATTTGTAACTTCTAGAAATGTTTATCATAAAAGTGTTTCCTGTAGTTTCATTTTTTATGAAGACACTGTATGAGTGAAATGCATTTCCCAAAATGTTTGGCTCATTTTTAGTAATTTTGTGACTGAGAAAGACTCATATTTTTACCTTTCAATTAATGCTGTCTTTATTATTTTTTTATTTTCTGTTTATGTTAATAGCATGGTGTACTTACTAACTGTGCATGTGCATATTTTTTATTTTATTTTATTATTATTCCTGTTTTCTTTGTATTCATCTTTTTTTTTTTTTTTTTTTAAATCCTTTAAATGATTTTTTTTTAACTCTGCATCCATTAACATATTTTTTTTCATAAATTTTGTCTGCATGTAGAGGTTTCTTTTATTGCTTGATGAACTGTTATAGGTCCCACTGGGATATTTATGCAGCAACATCATTATCAGGCTATACCGCAGATCAGTGCTGCAACTTTGATATCTCTCGAAAAAGCATTTGTTAATTATGACAGTCCTTTGCAGAGAAGTTCTCTGTTTAGTTCTGATTTTGATGGTGAGTTGCATATTTCTGTGACCTTTTGCAAGTTAAATTTTATATTCATTTTAATATGGTTCTTAATGTTTTAGACATGCTATGTCATCTTAATGAATTAGGTTGCTTCAGTATTATACTGTATAAATGCTGTTCTACATATCACTAAGATGATTTAAAAAAATGTTTGATTATAATTTGAGCACAGTATAAAATGTATATCTATAATATAAGTTTTATTACAAAGCTTGGAAGTATTTTATCAGAGTTAAATGTTGCATATCATGGTTTGATTGTGAATTGTAGAAGATGTCTGGGGGGACATTAAAAAAAAAAAATTCTTTAAAATATTTCTAAACACATTTCTATAACTTTTAATCTGGTGCAATATTTACTGATTTTTAAGATTGATGTTACATTTTTTTTTATGTTTTAACTGATTTTAAAGATGCATTTATTTTTGAAAATATATTTTCTTTCTTTATTGTGAATCATTGAGTACTATATTTATTTATTTTAAATTTAAGGAATAGAACATAAATCTGAAAAATTGAACATAAATATTTATCAAAAGCTGATATTTTTATTCGGTTCTGGTAAATATTTTCAAATATTTACAATTTAGAGTGCAGTTTAATAGAGGTACACATAATTTTTTAAAGACAGTGTGAAGTATTATAGTCTGCAAATTATTTTATCTTTGTATTCTATAATAACTATTGTTAACTAATAAATATTTACATTATGCCGAGATACATATATATTCCATATTTTTAAAATTAGGTATATATGTTTTGATATTATGTTAAATGTTCACTGTTCATGATATAATTGATTAGCTTTTTATTTTGTAGATGTTTTATCATTTAAATTTTTCATCCATTAAAATTATTTTTTACATGTGATTAATTGCTCTGAAAATTACTTCATGGCACATCAATAAAAGAAGCCATACTTAACTGCACGATTTTCTCTCGCACTATTTTCCCATTAATTATGACTAAATTATACTGTGAAGGGAAAGTGTTTTTATTATTGTTATCATTACTGTTGTTGTTATTTCATTTTAATTTACTTTTAAGAATGAATGCATTTTCAATAAATATTAACATAATTATGAGTAAGTCATTTGTTCATTAATAGCAAAAAGAATTTTAATATTATTATTCATCTATATAAAATGCTTTTTTAATCTTATCCCTACTATAATTAATGATTTTTTCGTTGTGGAAGCCACAGAAATTTATGCCAAGGTATTAGACATTTTTAAGCAGAAATTTGTGAATTTATTTCATGCTATTTATTGGAAAAGTTATTATTTTCTTTTATTGTTTGTTGCAAAATATATGTCAGATTTTTAAATCTTCAAAATAGTACTAGGCAATTAATTCTGTGGAGAAATCACACTTATTTTCCCTACTTTATTAATCCAGTTTCATTCTTCAACTAGATGCAGAAAATGATAACTATATTTGAGTGCTTGTCATTTTTAGTTTTAACTTTTCCTTTTTAAAGGTGGCATGGATTATAAATCAAGCATTTTAACCAGAAGAGAACTGCATTCTTCATCAAGCAGTTCAAGTTTTCCTACTATGGATGGTAATTTATTATTATATTTAGTAAATGTATTTCTTTTTTCTGAAATATGGTTTATTGAAATATAATATATAAACCAATCATGGATCTCATGTAGTGTTTTTTAAGCAAAAGACACACAATACTGATATATGCATGCCTAAATCTTTACATGTAAAAGCATGCAATAATTTACATATATTGAAACCTCAGTTCAAGAATGTAATTCTTTCTTTGAAGGATTTTCATAAGCCAAATTCTTCGTACACTGAAACAGTTTTTCTCATTGGAATTAACGTAAAATGAATTAATTCATTCCTGGAGTACAGATGATAACTTATTTAAAATTTGGAACTGTACTTTTTGGTCAAGTTCCTAACCCAAAACAGAGAAAGGTTATTAAGTATAATATTAAAAAAAGATGAACACAATATTAATCAGGAAAAAAATAGCAAAAACTATTTTATATTACTGGTATAAATAAGTGTTGATGACATAAGTGGAAAATGACGAGGAAATAAAATATTGTTTGGATGAGAAATCACATTCCACAAATGCATCAGATAACTGTCTTTAGGGGCAGCTTCTTTTATCTTTTCTTTGTCTGCCTGCTTGAGACTTACTGGTCCTCTGTTTCACTTAGTTTATTCATTCTGGTTTGTTGTTGCGTACATTTAAAAGGGTTTCTAAAACAAATCATTTCATTATCATTGAAAATGCTTTTGCTGTAACTTGTTAGTGCTTCATCAGAGTGATATTGTTGTGTGAAAATTTTGTATCTTATCCTATTTTACATAAATTTCCTGGATCAGATAACTAGGGAGATTTTTCTTTCTTACTTTTCTTAAAGACATTTTTTCCGCAGTTGTCTTGCGTTGCTGTTTTTGAAGTTGTAATAGTTTTTTTTTTTTTTTTTTTTTCTTTTCCTTTTTCTTTTTCTTTTTTTTTTTTTTTTTTCCATGTTGAGCTAGTTTTTATGGGTCTCTATTGACATTTTCACATCTACGTTATTAACTTCCTTGGTTTTGCCAAGAGACACAGTATCACAGATGACAGCATTCAGATTTTCTGACCGTTATTTCCTCCAAGCAAATTTATAGTCCTATGAGTCACTTGAAGTTAGGCTTTATTAATAAGAATTAAACTAAGGAAAATATTAAAATGTTTCTTACTGGAGTTTTTGAGGGTTAATTATGTGGCAAGGTTACCTAAAAACAGCTTTGAAAATCATAGATAGCTTGTTTAAATTTTCATAACTTGAAACATAGTCATAAGAGACGTTTTTGCTCGGATAATTTTTTCATGAAATGAGATGCTAATGATCTGACGAACCACTCAGCTTCACCTTTTTACTATTTATATTAAAAAATAATTAGAATTAATTTTCATATTTCTGTCTTATTTTTAAAGCATAAATGGATTTTAAATGTCTTTTTATTTTATTTTCTCATTTTAAAAAATTTATTTTTCACACATGTTCATTCTATTTTTCTGAATTTGTATTAATTTCCTGTCAGCATCTGAAAAGGTTTGCTTGAAAACCTTAGCAGAGAAGCAATTGAAAAGAATATGGTATTTCTTTTTTAAACAAGAAAAACATCGTGATTTTTTTTAATATGTATATTTTGCATGATCTTAATCCTTTGATGATCATCAACTAGCTCAGCTCACATTCCAGTTAATCCCCACAGAGGGCACAACTGAACACAGCTTGCATTTTATTTTTCTGCCTAGGTAGTAATGAATGAGTTACGTTTATGAATTAGATTTTTGTTCCATTTCGTTTCTGCCTAAGTAAAATGAATGAGTTACATTTATGAATTAGATTTTTGCTCCAGTGCATGCAGACAAAATGGGCTCATTCTTCAAAATAATCCAGTGCTGTTTTTAATGTTACAAACAAGTTGAGCTCCCAAATTAATTGTTTTTATTTGGTATGGATGGTGGTAGGAGTGTTAGATAATTTCCTATGTATTAAGGGTGAATTTGGCAGTTTTTTCAGCAATTTTTATTTTATATTTTAAATGCATATTATAGCTAGAAATGGTAAAAGAGAAAAGCACATTTTTTTTTTAAACAATGTATCTGATTTTGAAGACAAAAATCTTTATCAAATAATGAAAATGAGTTGGATACAGATATTTGATTTGAAAATTCTGAAGATGATTTGAGTGCAGAATATTTTAGCAGCATGAAATATCACATTGTGTCCATTCCATGTTTCAAATTCTACCACCACACAACTGTTTTTAGGAAAATAAATTATTAATTTTTTTTATTATTATAATATTATGTATCTTATTGATTTGTAAATTAATTACCTAATATGTCTTGTAATGTTTTAGAAATTCATTACTAAAACATTATATTGACAGATTAATAACATGTGAAAATATTATGCAAATAACAAAGTATATTTTTTATTATAGCGTAATATAACGTTTTTATTATTTTCTTAAAAATCGGTATTAAATATTAACTTTCTATTAAGAAGCATGCATATTTTCCCTTTCAAAGGGGTCTCTAAAAGATAATGATATTTAATGAAACATCTAGGCAGAAAACAAGTTCACATTACAACTGACAGATATCACACATATTTGGGTAGAAAGAATTGCTTAACCTTTCAACTGCTGAATGGTTAATGAGCATAATTCCTCCATAATGATATAATAGTTAGCTAATAACTATGCATCTGCTTTAGAATGTCTAATATGTCTGCGTGAGGAAGAGCAAATGTTAACTGCAAACAAAAATAACCTTAGAGTTTGCTGGTTAGATAAATTGATATATTAAAAAAAATGTGAATAAAGAACATAAATGAGTGTACTGCATAGCATTTGTTGGCTCAAAAACTTTTATTTAGCACGTAGATATCTTGTCTTCTAGTTGTATATTATTTATATGATACATTTAAAGGCACAATGCTGTTTGTTCTGTTTTTTAAACAGAAAATATAGTTTTTTTTTTCCCCCCACTAAATGAAAAAAAAAAAAAAAAAAGTAATTAAAACTGCAACAGTTCTTAAGAAAAGGAAAGGGGAAAAAAGGTTATTTCTAAAATTATTTTATTTTGGCTAAAAGAAGCACAGCATATTTTGAATGTCCATGATATATGAACATGTATTCATGCTTGCGTATATCTGTACAATTAAGACAAATTGATGCTACTCTGTACCCTGTAGTGTTTAGAATTTATATGAATCTTGCTATTTTCTTCTTTTTTTAACTTATTTCTTAAAATTCAGTTGAGGATTAGGACTTTCTCCTTATTTTTTTCTTCTTTGTTTAGTATTTATATTTTATTCACGAATCAGCGATAATTTTTTCTGATTTTTTTGTGTATGTGTGTATATATATATATATTTATATGTAATAGATGCTGTAGTAGAACGCAGGCGGTTGAATCCATTATGAATAGCGAGAATTGAACAGCGATCCACAGTGAATAAGAAATTTGGCGGTCAAGGTATATTTGATTCGACTTTTATTTCAGTAAACATGTTGTGGCCACAATCAAGGTATATTTAATTTGACTTTTATTTCAGTAAACATTTTGTGGCCACAATCAATCATTAATCAACTGTGCGTATTCCAAAAAGTATACATTTTAGATAAATTTGAAGCAAGAAAGAGGGAGCAGACAGATTGCAGTCAAGCTAAGCGTAAGCATAGAAAGCAAGTGCGTTATGTTCAGGGTGAAATCTTAATTCAAACTGAGTTAGTTTTGGATCTCAACGCATTTTGATTGGATAGTTAATATTGCTGTAAAATTACTATTGGCTGTTTGAGTTTTATTTCCATCTACATAATCAGAATTACATAAGAATCATATGACATAGATTAGTCTCGAAATGACGCAGTGCAAATAGAGTTTACTAATTTTAGAATACAGAAGGGAATTTAAGCTGCTAATTTAATCTTTTACATATTCTTAATTATCTTACATATATATAGTGTGAAATAAATTAACAAGTTTAAAATTCACCCTATATATATGTGTGTGTAAGTGTATGTGTAATTTTAAATATTTTCTTAGCAGTAAGGTCTCCCAGCTCAGGAAGTAGATTGACATCACTAATTCATCCTACTGATAGTCTTATATTTTCATATGGAGCTAGTGGTGAGCAAGAATGGACTCCAGCTATTACTACAGGTTTGTAAATAAGTGCATAGCTATTTAAAAAACTGTATGCATAGTCTTTACTGGGTAAAATGTTTCCCAGCCATAAATGAAATTTATTGAATTAATTAAACTTAAATTGTGCAGATTCCGTAGTAATTTTCACCCCATATTGATTTCCAACTTAAATTTTTGTATTAAATTTTATTTGATTTGATGTCTTATTCTACTGTAGACATTTGTAGAACTTCTTGCAAAGTTTAATTAGTTTATAATCAATTAATATTTGCATTTAGGTCTGTTTTATATCAGTAAATAGTACATTACTAAGTTTATTCATATAATAGAGTGTGGATTTATTATTTATTTCATTTTCATCACATTTAAAAGGACTTAGATAAGTTTTTTTTTTTTTTTTTTAAAGGGGATTTTCTCAGTATAAAGATGTAAGAAAATTATGAAATGAAATTAGTCAAAGAACATCAGTTGTAGAATATATAATTAAATGTTAACATATTTTACATCAGATCACATTATAAATAGTTCACTAACTGAAATCATGCATTATGAATTAAATTTAAGTCAGTTTGAAGTTCTTTTGAAATGGTATCACTATGCAGAGCTAAAACCTCCCAAATAGCCTGTTTTTCAAATTGTAAGCTTAGGAAGTATGCCGCATGAGTCAAAAACAGTATTATGCAGTGGCTTCCAAAAGTGTTCGTACACTTTAAGAATTTGTAGAAAAAACACTGTAGCCCAGAACTGAATTCCAATATAAAGTGACTAGAGATATTTGATTGAGTTAGGGTTTGGAGGCATCTGGTCAAGCTTCCATTTTCTCAAACTAGTTAGTTATGGCTTTTGCTTTAATAAATGATTAAATTGTCATGTTGGAAAAGATAAGGGCCAGTTCCACATTGTTTACCATGGTGATTAGCTTAGAATTAGGCAGCATTCAGAACTTGAGATGAAGAAACTGATGACCGAGGAGAAACAAGAAGGAATGAATTCACACCTTAATTTCTTCTCTAATAAATTTACCCCTGGAGACAATGCACTGTGGTAAATAACATTCACTTAACATTTGCCAGGTCCATGCATATCCATTAGAACAGCACAATGAGTAACATGATTTATCATTCTCTATGATGTCTTCAACTATTCTTGAGTGAACAGGCAGTGGATTTTGCACCATTCACGCACAGAATTCAAGTGCTAACACTTCTAAGTGAATGGTACAAGTATTGACTTCACTTTCAGATGCCAAATGAAAGTTTTTGCCCCTGGTTTATAATGAAGATTTTCAGTTTGATGTTATTACATAATATAAGAACTGACTGTCCCACTCTGTTAATTTTTGTGGCTAATGTATATTTTATATATATATTAGTTTAGAAAGGAGAGATCCAGTTCATTATCTATTCTTCTGTCCAATGTCAAATAATTTTATCTCAGAAAGCCACCAAGTAATTAAAACTGTTACATGAAATACATAATCAAAATTCTACGACTTCACCAAAAAATTAATGCTAGTATAAAGCAGTTGTCAACTTACAAAATTAACATATGCCATATCCTCATAATATGTTTTTCATAAATTATATAAATTATTCATTGAGAGTTTACAAATTTTTTTTTAGGATCTGTTTCAATTTTTATGTAGTTAGATTTTAGGCTTATATATAATGTGAATTACACAATTTACTAATTTTTACATTATACAACCTCTGAAATTTTCAGAATTTAATTGTAGTTCATATTTACTGTGTTATGTTTTTATGTTCTATTTCTTTATCATGTATAAATTGATATCTATTATTAAATAATGAGCAGTCCGTATATATGTGTCTGTATGTATATATGTTTCTAGCATTGTGAGGAAATGACAGCATTTAAAGCCACTAAATTTTGAATACCCATAGTCCTGCACCCAAAAATGTGCACCTCAAAGCACAAATTTTTACTGGCGTCTCTCTTCATTTATATCTATATCAGCATCTCTCTATATATTTTTAATACTTTCATGCAAATATAATTTTCCTCCAAAAAGTAACAATAAAGTTGTTCTTATGCCATAAAGTATAAACTATTATATTTGATGTATTTCTAATTAAAATACAGTATTGTAAAAGGAATTATATAAAACAAAATTTTAAAAAGCCAGTATTTAATTGTATATTAATACTGTTTTCTATAAAGTCTGCTTTTTAATAATACCCCATGTTTTGAGTTCTATGAATGCTATCAAAAATTTTTAATCGGAAAATGGAACTAATATAACTAATATATTATTTGGCCTTTGGAAGAAACTATTACAGTACAAAGTCCTAATCCGGACTCGTCGGGACTTCGGCAATACCGGATTAGGGATCATCAATTTAAATCTGGTAACATAGCATGTAAAAATTAATATAAAATTAGTGATTATTTACAAAAAATAATAATACAGTCAAAAGTCTTTAATCTGGACTTATCGGGACTTCGGCGATTCCGGATTATAGATCATCAGTGTAAATCTGGTAAGATGGCATGCAGAAATTATAAAATTAAAAATGTGAAACCGTAATTTATGAAATAAAGAGCAATTATGATCTAAAGGGTATCAAAATTTACAAAAAAAAAAAAAAAAAAAAAAAAAAAAAGGCTTAATATTTATTTTTTTATTTGAGTAAACATTTCTATCAATGTAAGTTGTTTAAGTTGCTTCGTTTTTTTGTGCTAATACTTTCTCTTTAATTCTATAAACAGACATAATTGCTTGTTGAGTTACAAATCTCCACTGTTCAAGTCCTGTAATTGCTGTGTCAAGAATATCGACTAACTTGTGAATCGAAATTTTTTCGTTTTCAATAACTTTCTCTGTTACTTTCTTCACTATCGGAAGCACACATGGGTAAACGCTTTACTGGCTTTATGCGCATGCGTAAAGGCATTACGTGCATGCGTAAGTTTGTGGCTTTGAGGTCCGGATAATGGACGTCCAGATTAGAGACTTTGTACTGTAATATGAAGTAAAGCACTTGTTTCTTAATTTTTTTTTCCATTTAATTGTATGTGTATGAGATTAATGAAATGATGGTGTTGTTGGCTTTTTAGGAGTTGATTGGAAATCACTTGTTATTCCTGCGTGCCTGCCTATTACAACAGACTACTTTCCTGACCGACGAAGCTTGCAAAATGATTATGTTTTGTCAGATTATTCTTTACTGCCAGAAGATATAATATCTGAAAATGCAAGACCGAGGTAAGAAAAAGGAATGTATTTTGAATTTAATATGTTATTCATTATACTTATTAATTAATTTTTATTGTTATTTCATCATATCATTTCATAAGCATTATTTTCGAAACATAATCTCTTAAATATAAATTGCAATAATACAAACTTCCAAAAGAACCAGAGATGCTTCCTGTCTGCAAAAACTAAAATAAAAACCATCTCCTTCATGAAAGGAATTGGGGGAAGGTAAGATTGTGCATTAAATATTATGTTCTTTTTAAAGTTCTGGATGGAAACTAGTATTTAAATAAAATTTTTTGTTCTCAGTGAAAAATCTATTCATTGAAGTGTTCTTGATTTATTTTGCTGTGGCATATATTAAGACAATATTTAAGGTCAAGCTGATGCTTTTTTTTTTTTTTTCCGTGTTCCTTCTGTGAAGTTAATGATTCTTTTGACACATAAAACTGCATTTTGGTCTAGTGCATCGTTCAGGCATGAGATCTGATACACCTCTGCTTTATAGATGGACTCAGGGTTGAACTAAATCATTAAATTAATTCTTTGAGTGGTAGAGTGTTCAGTGGGAGGTATTAACTCACATACTTATGTGAAAACAGCTTTGATCTTAAAGATTGATCCTGATTGGTTGTAGTAGTTTATGGAACATGGCCACTTTATTTTTCAGCTTTGAGAGAGAGGTTTATGCTAATGAAACTAAGTTGAATGAATAGTTGAAACTCAGCTCAGTTTTACTAGGAGAGAGATCAAGAATCTATCTGAGCTTTGGCAGAAATTTATTAATTAATAGTGCCGATTTTATGTGATCATGTTTCAGTTTTATTCAAAATAAATCCTCATTTTTTGTTCTCGAAGTGACCAGAACTAGCAACACTCTAGTACTTTCTTTCGTTCCACCGGCAGTGAGACAGCCGGTCTACTGGGTAGTTAGCATATCGGCCAGGTAGCCCCGTTGACGGAAATAATTTGATCAACATAACACACTTATATATACATATTGTGCTCAAGACGAGTGCTGGGGGCAGAGCAAACAAATGCTGGACAAGACGATAGTGCAGTGATGGAAGAAAGGTGCATTGCAGGTGAGAAGAACAATTTCAGTTACGTATTTACAGAGTTATGGATAGGTGGTTACAAAAGATATCCACAACGTGAACAATAAATGAGTACACTGCAATATATGAGCAATTAACAAAGTGACTGATAAAACAGTAAAAATTAATATCTAAAATAGGGCTAAATACTAAATAGCAATACTAAAAATAATAAGAAGTAAAATACTAAAAAGCGAAATAATACATAAAAAAAAAGGCAAAACAGTGAAAACAGTACATAAAATAAGACAAAATACATAATTCAAGGTTTACAGTTCAAGGAGATAAGTATATACAGGGAATAAGAAAAGCTGAATAAGCTAACTTAATATAAAATTAGTTCATTACAGGTACAGAGCATACAGGGGCTGTGCTGGTGATGAGGATGGCAGCTGAGAATTACTCCAGCCTGCCTGTGATTTTGCATGCAATATTTATGCAGTCGCATATGCGTTTCAATGTATTGCAATTTTTTGAAGTAGCTTCGGCCCATGCATGGATGTAGTTTGCTGCTGGTTGTCTAAGATGATATTTGGCGGTCTCTCTGCAAGTGAACAGATAGTGGTCCGGATTTCCTACCATCCCACATGAGCAATTTTTGCATCGTCTGAAGCGATGCAGGTATGTCATGAAGGGACCATGTCCTGTTAGAAACTGAGTGAAGTGAAACGAGCCACTTTTTAAAAGCCAGCAGACTTTTGGTAAAAATCTGTGAACTCTTCTGCCAGTGGTCTCTGTCTCCCGCAGATGTTGCCAACGTTTGAGCAATTCCCTCTCGAGCTCAGCTTTTAAGAACGAGTGCAGGAGAGGCACGTCAAGTGTGCGAATGTGGGGGTCAGTTGCTGCTCTTTTGGTTATTGCATCTGCAATTTCATTACCCAGTATTCCGGTGTGGGCAGGTACCCACTGGAGTTCAGGCCTATAGTATTTTGGTGTTCTTAGTAAGAGTTTTTGTATGGCCCTGACGAGTGGATTTTTACTACATGTGCCTTGGATTGCCTGGAGGCTAGAGGCTGAGTCTGAATATATACTGGAATAGTTATTTTCCAGTGCGTAGACAAGTGCAGCTTTTAATGCAATCAGTTCAGCCTGAAAAACTGAGTTGTGGTGCTTAAGCTTTCTTTCCCAGGTCTTTAAGATCTGGTTCCCATGTAGAACACAGTATCCGCTACCGGTGCCACATTCTCCTTTGGAACCATCGGTGTAGATTGCAGTGGCTTTGAACCACGTTGGTGACCTACAGTTAATCGAGATGTTGAATTCGGCCGGGTGGCAAGGTGGCTCAGGAATGCTTTGCTCATAGTCAGTACAAACATAAGTCCTGGCCCAAAACTTATTGTCTCTCTGAGTCAGAGCACTTGCACTATTGCACTCTTGTGCTAAGCCAAGAGATGCAGAGGCGGCAGTTCTGAAATCATGTTTAGTGCATTATATGGGCGAGGTTTTATATACTCGGGTAATGCTTAGGAGGAATGGTCTGTGTGCTGAGCATAACAGGTTCTCCATTTTAGTGGTGATCGTTATGCTCCACATGGAGGCCCCATACAGTGCAATACGTTCAACAACTACAGAGTACCACGTCTTAAGCATCCTCAAAGAAACTCCCCATGTTGGTGCTGCTGTTCTGAGCATGGAATGAAATATCCTGTGAAGTTGTGCCTTGACCTCCTTTGAATGTGGCATCCAAGTGAATTTGTCATCAATTATAACTCGAAGATACCTCAAGTTTCTGACTATTTTAATATTTTTCGCATGAAGGTTGATGCACGGGGTTCTTCGATGACGCTTTCCTGGACAAATAAGCATACCTTGGGTTTTTGAGTTGGCAATAATTATGGTCATTGGCTCATTTGGCCATTTTGTCCATTGCTTGTTGCGCCCAAGTCTCATATGCGTTGCGGCTGTGCCCTTTGGTTACCAGCAAAAAGTTATTGGCATAAGCCAGTATTTCCATGTGAGGATCTGTGTTAAAGACAGTTGACTACAAGATTCCAAAGCAGTGGACCCAGACAGGATCCTTGAGGACAGCCTTTATTGATAGAACGTGAGTGCACTCCTGCGTCCATAGTGGCTTGTAAGCCGCGGTCACTTAGTTAGCTGTAAATAAGGTCAAAGAAGATCTTATGCATAGACTCCAACTACTATGGATTCTCCGTAGTTTCTACGGAAATTCATGATAAACTACAAGCTATGAAATGTATGAGAAAAACTGCATATTTTACAGAAACAGAGTAGGAGAACCAGTATGCGAAACAGAACCAAATAATTCATCCGATGATTGGCTGAATACTCGTGTCATCATATATCACATATTGAGTGGTGCATTGCTGGTTTTGAAGAATAGACAATCGTAGATCAGTAACTCCAACCATTAATGATTTGTCAATTAGTCTCCCCCCAACATCTGGTCTTCCAGGTTCGTTGCTGCTGCGTATTTAGCTTGCCTTCGGCTCCATTGCTTGTATTACGGCGAGATCTTAGCATCTGTCTTGTGAACTGGGATTCAGGTGGACCTTTTTTTTTTTTAATTATGCTACCTCCAACGAAAAAGCCAAAATTATCACAGCAGAAATTTAAAGATTCGTATTCTTCAGAATTTCCATGCATTAAAGCATCCATAATTTCTGTGAATCATGCACACTGCATTGCATGCAACAAAGACTTCTCAGTTGCACATGGTGGAAAAGATGACTGTAAACGGCATGTTTTTTCTCACAAACATATAGAACTTGGCATTGTAAAATCTAAAAGAAATAACGAATTTCTTAATAAAATATGACAAAACAGGTCCTATGGAAGCCGAATGCTATTTTTGTTCGATTTTTAATTGAACACAATCTACCGCTTTCTGTTTCGGATCATTCCAAAGAGCTTTTCAAAGCAATGTTTCCGGATTCTCCCATAGCAAAAAAAAAAAAAAAAATTAGCTGTGGTCATGCCAAAACTGTCGCTATTGGAAAAGGCTTGCAGAAAATACTGTTGCCAATATTATAAAATCAGTGTGCAATTCATCATTTTCTCCAAGTACTAATTTAAGTAATGATAACAAACTGTATCCATTGATCATAATATATTACAGTAAGGAAAAGGGAGTGATAATTACATTATTGATTTCTATTTTAGAGTGCATGAATAATATGGAAAACGTATTTGTTCGATGTTATGCAAATTGTATTTCTTTCTTTGTACCGAGGAGCGGCGTAGACGCAAATTTGTTAGTTTTTTAAAGCTCGCGGTTAGAGCTTCGAGGTTGCTGTGAATTACTGGAGTTTCAACTAGGCAGAGGTTCTTCTGAGTTTGTGTTGGTAAGCCGCCACTGAAGTCGGAGTTTGTGTGGTCTTCGCCGTTCCTCAAGTAACTTACTATTTGAAAGTCAATAAAGAAGTTTCGGTCAACGTTAGGAGTCTGAGGTTTTTTGAGTTCTATACTGAAGTAATATCAAGTTAATTTACAGTCCACTATTTTTAAACAACGGAACGTACATATTTTATGGTCCATCGGCTACGGAGTCGCAGTAAATTTGGTGAGTCAGTGTGTTTTTTTATCTTTCTTATTAGATAATGGAATTTACAACGCTTAAGACTAAAAAAGCGTGTAGCTAAAGCTAAGTTAAGTAAACTGAAAGAGAAAATTGCAGTGACTTACGATTCTTCTGATGTTGATCAGTTGGAACTTTTTAAATCTAGATTAAATGACTTAATGACCGAACTTTCGGATATTTTTAGTAACATATTTGTAGTGTGTGAAGAAAAAGATATTGATTGATTTATAGAAGAACAACAGGTCGTACAAGATACTGTTGATGAGTTAATTTTAATGCTAACCAGAGTTAAGAATGTTAAAGACATTAGTGTGGAAACTAAATCTTGTGAAATAGCGAGTATACCCTTACCTAAGCTAACTCTTCCT